CAGGCCCGACATATTAGCGGTCATAGAGGGAAATGTGAGATTGAAACACCTAAAGGATAGAAAAGAAAGCAGGATTGCTCTACAATAACCCACCCAAATTTCCAACTTTTAAGAAACATGGATTGTTACGGCAAAGTGTACACGCACAGGACACGTTTGTGTGCGCGTCCGCGTGCGCGCGCGCAGACACACACACACACACACACACACACACACACACACACACACACACACACACACACACACTCACGTACACACAAGAATGCAACTCGGGTAAAACTACGAGGAACAGGTACTGGGTAGGTTTGACATATTTACAAACGGGATGACACGTCATTTTTGAATGCCTCCGTTCTGCTATTTTCGACATTTTGACCAGAATGACAAAGGCGCTTCTGGAAAAAAGCCGACGATAACAAAGGTTCAACGCCACAATCAATGCAATTTAGACCATCCAGGGGCCAGCTAGTTTTGGCCATGTTTGCAGGGACCAATGGAGACTGTACGCTAGTTACTTACGTTGCCATTGAAACAGTACATTATTTCCGAGTCTGACGGATCCGCAAGTCTAGTAATCATGAAAGCCAGAACACGGGGCATGACAAAGCATACGATCAACAACAAAGAAGAAGAAGAAGAAGAAGAAGAAGAAGAACAACAACTACAACAACAACAACAAACATGCTCAAATGAAAAAGAGCAGTTCGCAATGCAGGACGGGTGAAAGTTATAACAGGTGTCATCATGCATTATATCACTGGCACCATAAAAACCGGGATGTATACGTACACAGTTTACTTTAGACAAGCATACGCATGTATTTCTTCTAGGCCAAAGTCTGACATTTCGATCGTTTATCTTCTGGTTGTTGTTGCTGCTGTTGTTGAGAAAAGGATTGTGTACAAGTTGGCCACCATATGTCACAAATGTTGGAATGATAATGCACCATCATATTTATCAAATCTGTTAAGACTGTACATTCCAACTCGCAGTTTAAGATCACCAGCTGACAAAAAGAAATGTATTTTACCATCTATGAAACTTCAAACAATGGGTGAAAGGGCATTTGAATACCAAGGCCCCAAGATCTGGAATGCTTTACCAAGTACGTTGAGAGAAATCAAATCTTTTGATTCATTCAAATGTCAGCTGAAGTCGTTTCTGTTTTTAAATTAATAAGATGAATATTTGGAATAATTTTTTTAAAGTCAGAACACAACGTTTCATGTTACTGTTGTATGTTGTACTGTATTGTAAAGCGCTCAGAGCCTGTGTACTTTATTCGGGGTTGAGCGCTTTATAAATGTCATTTATTATTATTATTATTATTATTGATGTAGTTGTTTTGTTTTTATCTTATACTGAATGTGTATCCTGAACAGAAAGTATCGCCTACAGAAAAGGTTGGTGTGCAGCAGTGACGTTTTCGCTGATCGGAATGGCTCGGCTTTTTAAAAGGACGAACAGAACAAATCTAAGCAACTACGCAAACACCAAGAAGCTCCAGCTATAGGGCCGTTTTCTGTGATACCTCAAAGTGTTGCAACGCCCACATGCAGAAATTTTCTGTCCATTTCGTATGGTTTTTACTTCACTTAGGGTGGACTTAGTTTTTGTGTTGTTGTTTGATTGGGTTTTAAAAAATAGTAGATTTTACGGCACTTGCAACACAATTAGGTCATATAATACATGCCGAAGATCTAAGGCGTTGCTGGACAGCAAGATTAAAAAATGAAGGTGAGATAAGGCCAATAAATTAGTGTTTGATAGGAAAAAAGGAGCAACAGCAAAACGAAGGTTTAGGGATCGGTTAAGGATGAGGAAGAGGAGGAGGAGGAAGAGGAGGCCTTATTCATATGTATTTTTAAATCATTGTATCGCAAGCCTGGTGGTACCAAAGATTCTCCACTACCAAGATGTTTCAATTGCCCAATCTTTGGTGGTACTGATTACAGATCGAGACAGCGAAATTTATCCCACACTGGGATGACTTCACGAAACAGAGCATTCGCATACCGGGGTGACTTTACAAACAGCACGTTCTTCAGAGAGCCGGTCGCACGATTTCTGTCAAAAGCCAGTGCACTGGGCGGCGTGGGGACAAAGGCCACGAAGCCATATGTTATTATATAATATAATAATATGTCTAAAGCAGGGCAAGGGACTTTTCGTGAAGTACTCAACGGAAGAGTGTGTGTGT